AGGGGCTGGATAACAGGGCTGACTGACAGGTCAAAAGTAGGCTGGTGTACAAATCCAGTCATGCGGCCCAGCCCGTTGAACAGTTGTGGGTAGCGGTCAGGCCAGGAGGTGGCGACCTGCAGGACATGCAGGCCCCTAGCATCACTCACAGTAAAACCCAGGGCAAGGAACAAGTCTAGGCCCATAATGTTCGCTCCCCTCTGGGTGATGCAGAACTTGGTGGCAGGTGCACATTGTTGGTCATATCTGACGGGGAGGCAGGCAACACCCAGAGTGGAGATGGGAAAATGGCCGTAGCCTAACAGGGGTTTAGCCGCTGCTTCCAGAGGCATGTGACTGAAGAAGCGGTCATATGTGCATTTGTTCAGGATTGACACTTTAGCCCCTGTGTCCACGAGGAGCGGAATGAGAGCTGTGCCCACACGGCATGTGCAGAGCTTGAATGAAGGCTGTGAGGTCTGTACAGTGTTTATGGGGACAGCAGCAGTGTCATGGCAAGCAGGGGAGGAGCGACAGCAGCGTGCAAAATGGTTCAACTTGTTGCAGTTACGACAACGTTTTCCCTGGGCAGGGCATGACTGATCTCTGGTTGCATGTTTAGGGGAGCCACAGTTGCTACAACTCTTGTGCCCACTCTCCCTGGGCCCCCTGTCTACTCTCTGTACATCCAAACTGTCACTCACCCTGTCAGCTGCCTCTGCAGTCTCTGTGTGCTGAACTGACGGTGGTGATGACGTCACAGGCTCGATCACAGCGCGGCCGAACTTGCGCGCCTCCATTAGGGCCATTTCCAGCTGCTTTCCAATTACTAAAGCATCTGCTAGTGTCATGGAGTCTGGCTCTAGTAAAAGTCTCTCCCTCAGTTGGTTACATGACGTTTTCTCTATTATCTGGTCAACTATAAGTCCATCCTCCAAAGTCCCAAAATCACAAAGTCTAGCCAGCTCACGTAATGCTGATACATAGTGGGCAACTCAGCTCCATTCACCGAACGTGGGGATATAAGGTTTTGTATGTGCGACAAACTATGCAGAAGTTATTAGCCTAAACGCATTTTTTATGATAGTAGCACCACCTAGTGGCCAACCTGAAAGCGACACATAGAATATCCCCATTTTCACCAGGCCTGACAACTTTGCCAAATAACATTGACTTTTCGTATATGTTCAGGGGGGCAAAAATGCAGTCAAAGGGGGCTAAAAATAATTAAAGCTGCAAGCAGCGATGGATGGGACCTCGCACTCCACGCAACTCAGGGCGTGCTGCGGCCGCGTCACGTGCCGTTGTAACACGTGTGGACCATGACATGAAAATCTCACGTAAATCAGCTCAAAATTGCCACGCAGCACTTACTTCCTGTTGCCACTAGGTGGCGCTATCACTATGTGTTCAGGGCGGGACTCTTATCAGACGTGAAGTTTGGAGCCGATTGGACAAATGTAAGTTATAGCAACTTTGTGTGTTCTGGCGGTACATCAAAGTTTGACGCCACGCCACGGACACGCCCTGTAACAAAAACTCACCACAATCAAGAAATATCATTAAGAACATGTTTTCCATTTTCTGACTAGATTTCAGCTTGATCTGATCATCCTACTAGGAGTAGAACATGGAAGTATAAAAAATGACACTTCCTTTCACCACTAGGTGGCGCTCTCACTTTTACTGAATATTATCACATAGACGTGTTCAGGGCGGGACTCTTATCAGACATGTGAAGTTTGGAGCCGATTGGACAATGTACACTCAAGTTATAGCAAATTCGTGTTTTGTAGCGGTACATCAAAATTTCCTGCCACGCTACAGACACGCCCCCTCACCGCAGTCATCACATATCATCAACAATGTGTTTTGCATTTTATAAGTACATTTCAGCTGGGTCCATTTCACGGACTTAAAAATGACCAACTTTGACGGCACGCCACGGACATGCCCTTCAACGTACAGTTACAAATTGAACAGCGTTCATTCAGCACCATGTTTTGACTGTACTGACCAATTTTGAAGCAGATCCGATAAATTCCCTAGGAGGAGTTTGTTCAAATACAAGCCCAAAAAGTCTAAATGACCACACAATGATGAAAATTAAAAATTGAAATTGCAGACTTCCTGTGGGTTTTGGGGCATGGGTCCAAGAGGCTTTTCTGCTTCTTTCATCATGATACACATGCGTTGCAATTTTCGTACATGTGGGCCTTACGTGTCTTGGGGGCTGATTCTGGGGGGCGTGGCTTAGCCGTTTGGCAGCGCCCGTGCAAAGGGACAATGTCATATCGGTATTTTAGCTACGTTTGAATTTTGTGCAAATTTTCATGCCATTTTGAGCATGTTGCGGGGGCCAAATATGCGGTCGAAGTCCCAGAGGTATAATAATAATTCCTAGAGGAACAATAGGGTCCTTGCACTTGTTAGTGCTCGGTCCCTAATAATAAGAAACATAGCAAATACAATAGGGACCTCCAGCGGTCGCTGGCTTGGTCCCTAATAATAAGAAACGTAGCAAATACAACAGGGACCTCCAGCGGTCACTGAAGTGAAGTGAAGTTAGTGACATGCATTAATGGGACATGAATGAGTGCAGAAAGAGAGAGAGCAAGGAAGAGAGGAGCTCAGTGCATCATGGGAAATTCCCCGATAGTCTAGGCCTATAGCAGCATAACTGTCTTAAGCCTACTCTGAAATGTGGAGAGGGTGTCTGCCTCCCAAACCAAAACTGGAAGCTGGTTCCACAGGAGAGGAGCTTGGTAACTGTGGGATCTGGCTCCTGTTCTACTTTTAGAGACTATAGGAACCACAAGTAGCCCTGCATTCAGAAAATGCGGTGTTCTAGAGGGGTAATAGGGTACTATGAGCTCTTTAAGATAAGAAGGGGCCTGACCATGAAGAGCTTTGTAGGTGAGGAGGAGGATTTTAAATTCTATTCTAAATTTCACAGGGAGCTAGTGCAGAGAAGCTAATACAGGAGAGATGTGATCTCTTTTCCTAGTTCCTGTCAGTACTCGTGCTGCAGCGTTCTGATGTAATCTCCTCCTTGAGTTTAGCTACAGCACTGTCAGAGAGACATCTGCCAAAGGAAGTATTATGTTGTGCCATAGGAGAATGTAGATTTTTTGTTCTGATTCAAAGTTAACAAGTGAAACATTACAAGATCACAATGTAATTTCGATTGCGCAACATGCAGTTATTCTGGTTGTGCAGCCAAAATTACATTGTGATCTTGTAATGTTTCAGTTATGCAGTTACTCTGGTTGTGCAACCTAAAAATTCCCAAATCACCCCTCACTACATTTAATCAGATACTTTATTCTGAAGGTAAAAAATCTGGAGTCTTTCTGTACATTTATGTGCCATCATATACCTCAGGATTACTACAATAGTAATATAGAATAGATTTTAATCTTGCCTCAATTTGTTTTATTTATATTGATTTTCCAAATATATCCAATATTTATGCTGCCTCTAAATTTAGATTCATTTTGTATCTGAATGCACCTTCATATTTCTACACTTTGTAACCCACCAAAACAAAGAAGTGCTTTGATATGGGCGGCTGGAGGTGGCACAGAAAATAAATAATTTAATGAATAAATGAATGAACTATTTGCCAAAACAAAGTATAAATAAATACACCAATGGGCAATAATATAATAAAAACATTTCTTTTTATATATTTATTTCCACCTGAATTCATTTATACATATATTTTCACAATTATTTGTTTACACATTTATTTTCAGATTTATTGCCACGTGTGATAATAAAGGATGGTGTCACACAACCTCATCATCATAGTCTCTCCTGGCTGTCATTGGCTTTTCAGTCTAGGATGGTTGCAGGGATGAACAACAATGGTGGCACACAGAATTGTGAGACTCTTCACTTCCATGGGGAGAGGAGTACTCTTGTATTTTAGGAAATATACTTTTTTCCTTTTCCCAACCCAGACTAGTGAGCCAGGAAAAATCAGGAGAGCCCATAAATAAATGAGGATATATAGATTTTAATTAATGAATAAAGTCATTCATAAATATAATGTTCTTTATTTATTGCCAGTTGACCTATTTGCCTATTTTTTGTCGATATTTATTTTTATTTATTCATTTAATTTATCATGCCTATTAATTTATTCATGTCCTGTGTCATATTTTGGTCCCATGTAAAGAGGGTGAGAATACTGAGAAGTGAATCAATATGAAGGTCCCTAATTCAGGGGGCTGACAGGAAGTCCTCTCCCACAGATACCATTACTGGTATTAAGGTCTAAGGATTGGAAAGGGTCACAGCAGTGTCAGTGTTCAGTGTGGTGGTGACCTGACCTTTCTGACCGTCTTCATCTTATTTAAGCTCCACTCCTCAAGAAGATGTTGGATTGTCCTGCTAGCCTATTATGCTGCGTGGTTGGGGGTTGGGTAGTTGATAGTTTCATTGGCGGTTTGGGGGCTTTCTGTCACACTCGCATGCTGTTAGAGGAAGTGTGGGTTTTGTGATCAATATCCTAAGTTTAAAATGAATTATATCTGACAAATTGGATACCAAAATAAATGCTGAAAGTAACACACACTCTCTCTCTCTCTCTCTCTCTCTCTCTCTCTCTCTCTCTATATATATATATATATATATATATATATATATATATATGTGTGTGTGTGTGTGTGTGTGTGTGTGTGTATGTATATACAAGTGTGTGTCATTGGTTTATACATTGACATTATAATCTGTGTTATTATGTTATTACACTAATGAAGGCAGATACTTCAGATGAGTAGAACACAATGGCTGCATCCTCTTGGGGTGGATCATATGTCTACTTCCTTGGCTCCTTCCCCTTGACAGAAAACACACCCTTTAGTATCAGCATAATCAATGGGGAGTGGTTCTGGAGGGGGTGGTTACAGCAGTTTGCCTGTCTGTGATTCGCTGACATGCGCTCTAATTGGATCAAGTAGGAACTTGCTTAGCTGGATGCTTTGTGTTGGGATTGGTAGCAGCCTGCAACGAGAGCACGGACGCACCACCAGACAGGAAAAGAGGCAGAGAGGGAGGAGGCCCTGCTTAGCACTTGGAGAGGAAAGATTGGGAGAGGAGGGGTGAGAGAAGAAAAAGGGGAGTATCCTGTCTTCTCTGCCCTTCTGTGCTACTGCAGCACCCCCCCTCCTCCTTTCCTCCCTGACTCTCTTTCTCTCTCTTTCCCCTTACTCATCTGTTTCTGTGGCTGCGCTGAGAGGAAGGGCACCTGCCGCTCCCTGATGATTCAGCCTTTCAGCTACTTGGAGCTCCACAGACAAGACAGCATGTCCCTCCTGCCACTGCAGTGCCTGACCGTCCTGTCCTCTGCACTACAGCTACTGCAGCTGCAGCTAGCCCGTCACTTCGACACCGCCTCTTCTGCTCAAGTGCTCAGGTGAGTGAGCGCTACTATTCCACCATTACTCACCATAAGACCATGCAGAACATTTAAAGGATCTAATTCTCTGGCAATCTTTTTTGTTTTTTTCCTGCAGCAAATTTGACGATTCTATTTATAGACTCATGGTTGCGTTTCCTGTGAGAAAGCATGAGTAAGGAACTCCTTTCCCTCATGCGCAGAAGGCTGTCTACATACCTCCCAGACTGTTAACAAGGTTCGACTCACTATAAAAACTCTCACTCTTTTTACTTCCCTCTGAAATCCCAGCTCTGATTCTGCAGCTTTATGATGGAAAATATACTTGAGGAGACTGGTGGCAGACAGCCACCGTGTAATGCTCTGAGTTAATAGTCAATAGAGGTGTTCTGAGACCCTTCATCCAGTAATTGGAAAGGATGACTGAGGGAATGGGGGACCTCTCTGCAGGGCCAGCTCCCCCTTCTGGATCAACCTCCCCCACCAGTTCTACTGTTGATACTGGACAAGTCCCCAAGGAGAAACCAGAGGAGACAGAGGCAGCTGGTGAGATTGGGGAGGAGGGTGCAGAGGGAGCTGCAGAGGAAGGTGGTGGTGATGGAGAGCATTTAGGGGCTTTGGGAATTGTGGCCTTGCCAGGGACCTGCTGTGTGTGCATAGAAATGGAACAGATTAACAATTGCTTGCACTCTGAGAAAATCTGCATTCTGCCCATCCTGGCCTGTCTGCTTAGCTTAGCCCTCTGCACAGCTGGCCTCAAATGGGTCTTTGTGGATAAGATCTTTGAGTACGAACCATCCACACATTTAGATGCTAAGCGTTTTGGACAGGACCCAGTTATCATATCAGTTGACCCCACTTTGGGGCTAACTGTGTCGATTCCTCATTCATCTCCGTCTACTGTCTCCTTGACCACCGCCATCGTCATTACCCCTGGACCTCCTGATGTTATAATGGAAGACAAATCCACACAAGGGCCGTACATGCCTCAGTCCCCACGAGTGACTCAGTCTGATCCCTCTACGTTGAAATACAACAACGAACGTCCCACCATCCCAAAGCAGACTCCTCGCCCTCAGACAACACAGCAATTCAACAACATAATCATCCCAACAATCTGTAAGTACCAAACACTTGTTCAGGGAAAACGCTGGGATTGGGTTCTCTTTTAAACAGGATGTCCTTTGTTCCAAAACTGGCCTCTAACGTCGTGGACAGGGTATACAGTACTGCTTAACCTTGGACTGTAATTTTCATCATTGTAAAGACAAGCTAAGTGTTGTGATACAAATTATTCAAATGTCTTTTTCTGTTTTATCATTGATTTGGTTAACATTGTGTTCCTTCAACTGTGCCAGGAAATATCTGCTTTCAGGACTTTGCCTGAAAACAGACACGTTGTGACTTGCAGAGTGTAGCATAGAGGCCCATGACTAAGCCTCTTGAAATATTACTACACAGATAGGTGTGCAACTGTTCTATTCTACTCTACCCATACAGTGAGAGAATGTATAATTTCTAACATTCACTCTCTCTAAGTATTAATGATCCGTTAGATTATACCACAGTGATTTTAGAACACTACAATAAATTCATGTCTTTATGATGGTTATTTTGAATGTCTGGCGGTATACAATATGGAAGATCTCCTAAATGTGTGGATGCATATTTCCAGGCGAATGAAAAACTGAGAATCAATAAATGATGCGGGACACAAACTGAAACTCCAGGCTGTGCTACAGGGAGACTTCCTGTTTTCTGCCTGTGCTCCATTTCAAGGTCAGAGCCTGCTGGAGGCTAATTGATGCCCCCTCCATTCCTCTGCCACTGGGAAAAACAACCCGCTATTACTGTCTGTCTGCCAGAGGCGGACCACCATGATGTTTCTGTTGTAGTCACATCATTATGATTTATTAGACTGTATGTGGGCTAGCTAATCTAAGGTGATGGGGTGGGTGGAGGGTCAGGTTCCAACCATTGCCTCGATAAAGGTATATAATGCTCTCTCAGATTCACCAAATTCTCTTAACTGGACAAACTTTGCAAATTGCTGACCTGATGGATCCCACCTATCCATCAGGAGGTATGCGTTTGTGAGATTTTATCATAGTCAACAGCCATTAAATTTCCATAAGGCAATCTATTCTGCTCTATTTGTAAGGAAGTGCCATTGACAAAAATGTTACCAAAGTGTAAAAAGAAGGATTTTGAGTTTCAAGTGTCAGAAAGCGAAGCGGACTCATCCACAGCCAGAAACAATTACAGATAAACAGTAAACTCAAATATCTTTCTGAAAAGATTTGAGGAAAGAAATATGAAATTTCTCAAGGAAATGTATTCATCATTATACAACACAAGGCTGTATAAAGGAATGAAATTCAATTCAATTCAATTCAATTTTATTTGTATAGCGCCAATTCATAACAGAAGTTATCTCAGGACACTTTTCAAATAGAGCAGGTCTAGACCGAACTCTTTATAACATAGTCAGCAGTTCCTTTGCACATAGATAAGAATAATAAGAATAAATAAACCAATATATTCAGTTATTTATATACATATATACATACACGTATACACCCAGAAAATAATTCTGCAGTGCATCTTTTGGATTTGTGTCTTGGGGAATGTAAATAACAGCAACAAGATAGTGATAATAATATGGTTTCATCTTCACACCAGCCACTACATATACATTCCCAGCTGTTGCAATTTGATCAGCACTGCCTAGTTTGACAGTTTGATCTGAGTTTGATGTGTTGTGCTGGACGGAGAATGACTTGTTCATCACAAGGTAGCCACGCCCTAAAGCCTACACTGTTTTATTTTACTCTAAATTGGACAATAATTTACAAAATGAACATTATCCTGTATGGAAGAAGACTTGACACTAGAAATAGAGACCATAAACTCATTAGGAAATGGTTTACTGGGCTAATAAATCAAGTGAGAAGTAGTCATTTCTCCACTGTTAATAGTTAATTTAGGGAAATCTCATGGTTATGGTTAATAAACTGGTTAAGGTATGATTAGGGTTTCACACCTAAAATACTTCATTAAAGGTACCCTGTGGGGTTTTTTTTTTTACCACTGGTAGTGCTATGGAGCTGTTTTCATGAGTGTGTCCCCATTTTGTTTGGTTTGTGCATGTGCACAAGGACACGGTTGCAGAAACACCCTAATACAAGTAACTGTGTGCCCTCTCACGCAAAATATATTCCCTTGCATAAGACCCATAACAGAGAAATTATAGGTCTATAATTTCTGTTTATTCATTAGTGATTTTGTAAATGTTATCAGTCAAGACTTTAATCAATGGCTTAACCACCAACAGAATTTATTGATGTATGGTTAGGATTAATATGCAATAGTATTTTATTAAATCCTGTATCCAGTAACAAATCCACTGACCATTCCTTTATTCTTTGAAATAATGCACCTTAAGATTTTGGGCTTTACAATTTACATTACAAAGAAGAACTACAGTATACTTTATACTTGGGCAGGACAGAAGACATTCATTGTTTTAATTCATCTGTGACTGAATGTTACCCCTCCTGGGTTATTGTCCCTTTTCTCTGCCAGTATGTTCTACTTGTCTAAAGCCTGAAAGCTGCTTCTGAGGTTCACACAGAGCATGCTCTGTAATCTCTTTCTTAATCTTAGATATTTGTTTTCAGAACACTTTCAAGGAAGTACTTGGGTTCCACTGTGTCAAAATATTTAGATATATTACTGATATGTTTTTAAAGTAAAAAGTATATTGAGACTAGACATTATTACATGTTCTGAAACCATGCTTCCCTATTCTGTTTAATATGGAGGTTTGTCAAGTTCACAGAGTAGCCCTCCTGACATTTTTCTCCCTTGAGATAGCTGAAGAGACCTGGTGTACAGATACACCCTTACAAACAGCTCTGTGGGCAATCTGCCCTCTGTATGTCCTTTATAAGGATAGATACAAAACAGTTAAATCTACATTAAATTGGAGGCTACTGCATGTCTTCCTTTAACCATTTCAGCTAGCTACAAATTGTAGTCGTTTACATGCAAAGTACCGGTAATATCACTTGTTGTTTTCTACATCGCATTAAAATACTTTGTTAGAAAATACAGATTTTTAAAGACTAAGAGGGGCAGACAAAGAAGTGTTAGAAACTATTTTTAGATTAATTCCATTGAAGCACCTTTTTGTTAGTAACCTTGATAGCATTGTTAATACTTGTCAAAACTTGTGGTGTTTTTACAATGAAGGCTTGAGCCTGCCTTCCCATTAAAATGTATTGATTGTGAAACATGTACAGGAAGTGATAAGTTAGAATTAAATTAATAAAATCTAAAACAGCTTTATTAAACTTTAATAATACTGGCAACCGAGCACAGTTAAAACATTTTTAGGCCAACAGTCTATGTGTAATCAGTGTGTATCACATTTAGATGTAAACTGCTAAAATGTTTTGTTGTCATGTTTACAACTGATTGATTTTTTTTTATTTTGTTGAATTTTGTTGAGGTTTTTAACAAGATGTGTACATTTTTGATTCACATATAGACCATTTTGCTCAAATTTTTTTCACTTTCACAAATGCTCTGCAAATACAACCCTAGCTCTTACTGCTTTAATGGTTTTGAACATTTTTATTTCTGAAAACTAAGCAGAGAAATCTGCATTCCTCTCTGCCCTCCATCAGGCACAAGGAAGATGATAATGTGTTACTGAAATCCCTCAGCAGTAACTGTGGCACTTCTGACACCCCATTGCATTGGGCAGACACTGGAGCTAAATTGGTGCCAAATATTTACTGTCCATATTAGGCTATTGATCAATGGATGCTACAGCTTGGTCTTTTTCTAATGCATCCACTGATCACTGATTCATATTTCTAAAGTAAATCATAAACAATAGTGGCTTTGATAGCAATGTTTTAAAGTTCACAAAAACAATCAGAGCAATGCATTTTCTCTTGAAGCAGAGCTTGCACACCAAACTCCATTCACAAGTTAGTTTATTTATTGAAGTACAAGTGTTGTTTTCTTGCTGTACTAATTATACTTTGTCTTCTGCAGCTGCCACCAGCACCACCACTACAGCCAAGACCTCCAGTCATGTAACGCGCTGCAGTGACAGCCAGAGGAACTACTGTGTTAATGGAGGGGAATGCTTCACCCTTGAAATCATGCCAGGCAGCACAAAGTTTCTCTGCAGGTATGACATGGACAGAGGGTTATAATACTGACTTTGAATTAAGTTTTCATCTGAATGAAAATGTTTTAATGCAGTTATACCCTCTATATGTTGAGGAATGCCAGCAGAATGTAATTTTGGTGTAAAGGTTTGGGGGAGTTGTTTTCAAAATACAGTATATTTAACTAAGCTACCAATTACTTTACGGAGAGTACTAATATAGCAGAGCAACCAAAGAGGGAAACATTGTTGAAGCTACATGATCAAAAATAGAGTAAACATGAATTAATGAAAACATCAAAAATATGAAACAATCTATTATTGTACAAGAACATAGAGTAGAAATGCAGAACAATGCAGCACATTTCTTAATGTCAGTAAGATACGTCACTCGTGAGAAACACCAGTTGTGTTTTTTTATACATCCAGATTCTTGATGAAAGGATTTTTAAACTACTACAAAGATGTGACACTGTGTTTCTGCAGCTCAAGGCCCAGCAGTGAAATTTATGGATTCAAATGTGTGTAGGATTTAGTGGCATCTAGCGGTATAGTTGCAGATCAGAACTTCCTCACTTCAGCCTCCCCCTCTGACCGCAATGGAGAAAATACATTGCGGGTGCGAAACACGAGCATCTATCCACATCCATCTAGAGCCATCATTTGGTTTGCCCCTTCTGAGCTACTGTTCACTGAACAAGATATCATCAAGATCAAGGTTAATCATGACCTTTCCCGCCCCTTTTATAACAGTTGAGTCTCGGTCAGAACCTCAGTCAACTTTCTCCTTTCCTGTACTAATGTAGATATGTTATGTGCAAGGCTCATCCCTGTAGAAAAGTGGTACATATATAGTCACATCTTAAGTTAGCTAATGTTAAAACAAAACATTAGCTAACTTGCAATTATGTGTAGCTGTTTTTATGCATGCATCTGATGGTTAAAACTAAAATTCATAGAAGTTGAGTTCTTTGGGAGAGTCAAAAGCGACTGTTCACCCTAATACAAGTAACTGTATCCCCTTTCATACATGTGCAGAATATATTCCCTTGCATAAGACCTATAACAGACTAATTTATAGGTTTATAACTTCTGTTTATTCATTAGTGATTTAGACTTTAATCAGTGGCTAAACCACCAACAGTATTGAGCGATGTGTGGTTAGGATTCATGTTCGATAGCATTTTATCAAATCTGTATTCAGTAACAAATCTGCTGACCGTTTCTTCATTCTTTGAAATAATGTATCTTATCAGTTCTATTTAGGTTCAGCTGTCAACACTAAACTACAAGTAATGAAAATGCAGTTTTCCACTTTTTGTTGGTCGGGAAAGCAGAAACACTTCTGAGTGGTCAGCCTAGTAGCCATAATGTGAAAATGAGCTCAGCAACACAAGATATGAAATGTTTTTAAATATGAAACTTACATCTTATTGTTCAAGAGTTAGTTGTTCCAAATACTGAAGAAACTCAAATATACTTTTAAGCTGATCATCTTAAGCTACTGATATAATATGCATAAACATTTAAATTTAAGAGTCAGACTCCTATCTAACGCACAGTGGTCCATGATTAACATGAGATGATATCAAAGAGGATAATATCATAGCCAACAGTAGCTGATGGAACACTGTTGGATGCAATGGATAGTCAGCAACCTGCATAAAAATCCTGAATCAGCTGTCAAAGTGAAACTCTCTTTTTAACATTTAGTGAATTGTAGAAATGTCTGTGACAAAATATGAAAATACAATCATAAAATCAAAACAAAACCTCTCCATAAATGGGTAAGCCATGATGATCTCCAAATTCATTTGGATGTTTTTCAGGTCGATCAAGTCGGACAACAGGTCTGGACCACTAAATGTTATTCATATGTAAGAGAAATGTTGAATGCTACAAATTCCCTTAAATTACTTGTACATGCCACATAAAACTGAATCTGTTCAAGTACAAGTGGTTCTTGCATGAGACTCATTGACTCCAGTGAGTCAAATACATTTCAGGACAAGGAGCAAGGGTCATATGTCCATAAAGCCACCATGCAAGTGGGCTCACAATAGAGAATGAGGACTTTCTCTCTAACTCTCATTGCTAAAACTGGGTCGAAACAAAGTTCAAAAACAGCAAGAGCAGTGCAGAACCAATCCAAAATCTTTAGGGTGGTGAGAGCGTTGTTTCAAGTAAGGTATGTCCTTAAAGTTAGTGGCCATTCTCACCACCATTCAAGCAACTGCTTTGCATTTAGACATCCCAAGAGGATTGGCAGATCTCTGATTGCCTTGGATCACAGGACTACCATGCAAATGAGCAGATTCTTTGAGGAGAGCTGAGGAGTAGATGAAGACAATCCTCCTAAGAATGCCCATTGAGACCTACGTTTTTGTCGTGAGAACCATGCAGAACAGATAGGTAAGCTGGTGTTTGGCCTGGGCAGCCCCTTGGATTCTTCTGGAGTACACAAACAGGTGCTCATCTGTCTGAAGACTGCTGTGTGTGACATAATGAGATCATATTCACGACGAACAGAGACGTTAAAGGGGAACTTGGCAACTCTAGCCATTTCTTCGCTGGTTTTCACTTTTGTTGTCGCATGTTTTCTCAACAAGCTCCCCCTACAGCTCTGGGACGTATATTTCAAAACACTGTCGTAAAAAAAACTCACTTGCGGCACCCTCCTCCCCCTTTCTACTGCTGCTGATGTGCATTTGTTGCTGGGCAACTTTTTCGTGTGGAGCAATGTCTACCGAGGTGGGTAATACATTCATCGTCGCTTGTTCTTATAGCCTGCGTGGCTAACCGGTATTGAGGGAGGTGTGTGCGTTTATGTGGAACTGCCGTAAAGCAGTTTGTGTTTCTCGCTCGTTCTTGCTTCTCAGGATACTTCCTATTTCCAACTTAATGGGACGGTAGTCCCAAAGTTGCAAACTTGGTTTTCCGCCTGGGGATGCTAGGGGGAGCGGGGAAAGTCACCATTAACACCGGAACAGGCCATTTAACCATCCAAATGATTTCTAAATTAGTTATTATTGAGTTGAAATAGTTGCCAAATTCCCCTTTAAAACATATTTTCTCTTTCTTTTGGGAAAGGGAAACAACTCTGGATCTAATCAGCCACAAAATGACAGAACTGCTGTTGTCCCCTTTAAAAAAATACTGTAGGTGATTGGATGAACCATCTGTCTATCACTGTCTATCACAGTCTATCACAGGTGAACTTCAACCAATTAGATCAACAAACTCTTACTGAAGCTACATCTTTTCAATGAAGAAAAGCCTTGGTAAATGGACTGTCTTTCGACCATTCAATGCGCTGTACACACCACACACATTAATGCACTGATGGCAGGGGCTGCCATGCAAGGTGCCAACTACTCACCAGAATGGAAACTAATCATTCATAGCAATTCCGGGGTTCAGTGTCTTGCTTAGGACCTGCAGCGGGAGGAGCCGGGGATCGAACCACCAACCTTCCGATTAGTGGACAACCCGCGCTACCTCTGAGCCATGATTGTTGTCGTGAAGTGAACAGTCACTTCCCACACGTGTTGTCACACACACTTAGCATTAAACCCTGCCCCCATAGCTCATACATTTGTAGCTCAAACCAGGGCACTGATTGGTCTGAACCACTGTTGTTGGACACAAGCGCATATATAACTTGCAAAACAAGATGGATTCCTGACACCACACACTTTATAATCTCTTCTCATTCCCAGACATAACAGACACAAGCAGGGTTCAGTTATTTGCAGCTTCACAGCTAGATGCCACTAAATCTTTCACACTGTGTGCTGCTTTGTGCCGGGTTTGAGATAGGGGCCCACAGTCTCTTAAACCTAACCTACCATTTCTGGCATCATGGCCGCAGAAAATAGCCATTTACTGGTAAATGTAGGATTGAGCTCTGGAAATAATACCACCCCTGCCAATGAATCGACTAACTGACTGCAGCATGCACTGTCATAGGTTTTACTGAATTTGAATAAAGGAAATATTCATAGCCATACAAAGTGTACTACAACACCTACCAAGCAGCGAGTGCAAACTCATCTGGGGTGAAAAAGGTATCAAAGATACAAACCCACTAGGGGAGGTAATGGGGCATGCCCTCCCGTGAAGATTTTTTTTTTATTCTCAGCTTTAAAATGGTGATTTACAGTCGGTGTCCACAATTGTTTGGCCCCCTCTGCCAGTAGTTCAGAGTTTTACTGGCCCAGCAGCCAAACAAAAAAATTACTATTTTTTTCATTATTTCATAATTTAAAAGAATATACACTTTGCTCCACTATACCCATTAATGCTCTAGCATATTCTGCACAGCTGGTCCTGATGTCAACTAAAATTAAACAAAATTCTGCTAAGAGCCCCTTAACTCATTCCCTGTGACTCTGTCCTCAAAGAAACCTAGCCCCCTCCTAATTTAAAAAACTCATCGGATTTACACAAATTACACAAATGACAGGGTTTTTTAAATGGGGATTTTTGCTGAAAGGTGAAAGGTTTTTTTAACACACAAACAAGGGTTATTTTTGTGGGATATAAAATACTTACATAAAAACTGAACAAAAAATAGCCCAAAGATCAAATTTCCCCTCCTGTATTCCAGACATTTTAATACATTTTTAGACCTTGAATATCAAAAACTACATTTAAGACTTTGTAAGGATCCATGGGGACCATGAGGTAGCTAGAGTAAAACTTGGAGATTGGAGAATACAGAATGCCAATTAGTGCTAGTTTGATTACCTCTGTCAGCCATGTGACCCTCAACTTCCATGTTGTGGTGGTCCTGCAAGACTGTCTGGCAGTGGATTCCAACATTGTTCAGAACAATTTAAATCCACATGTTCAAAAACATGTAAAGTTGAATCAATAATCACAGATTTCCCATTACCTTAAACATACCATGTGCAGATATTCTAGAACGTGAGAAACTTAAAACCATTGGAATTGGATTTTCAAAAAAACTTTGTTAGTGAACATAATTCAGGATTTTGTTGTATCCTGGATCATGCTATGTTTGTACACTGGATGTCTTTGTGTTGGTCCATGTGTACTCACACAGTCAGCGCTGTTTATCTCTTTTCCTTTCTACCCATCAACCAGGTGCTTGGCTGGATTCACTGGGCACCGATGTGAACAAGCTGTGCTTAAGAAAGTCTCAGACCCAAAACGTATGTGCACACAACTGTATTCAATCCCACATGTCATTGCTGGTGTTTCACCCGTGTCATGTTTTCTCCAAGAAATGGCAGAGAAATCCATGTTTCCCTTATATACAGGGATATGAATCGGTTAGACATTGTTCTGATCTGCTAACTCTATTTCTATGAGCTCAAATGGAGCCCTTTAAGCATACTCTCCTCTGCAAAGTAGTGCACTGAAATTTGCATGTACTTCACATCTCATCACACCTCATCCATGCCATTCAGAGCAGTGAACTGCCTCCATCTCAAGTTGAAGTGATGTGTCTTGTCTGGAGGTAAGACATACACCTACTGCTCTTTCCATTCAGCCACACCTCCAACCCTTCAGAAACCAACACACAGGAGGACACTCTTGTTCCCCAACGGTCCAGTGCTAGACTGACCACTGTGTGTTTGGTTCAGCAGCAATGATTTTGATGTTTCAAGTTCAATCTCGGTTGTTAAAAAAAAGGTCTTGCATACATGAAACCCAGGAGATCACTGGTTGGGCTGTTGCCACATCAGGACAAACAGAGCCATTACTGGGAATGCTATATTCTCTTTTTGATTACCATGCATCAGGACCTATGTTGCAATTTGGGTAGGGTCATGGTGACACCCCTTATGTAGGATTATATTACAGTCTAGGCTTGTCCTGAGTGGCTGTGAATGTACATGCAAATTTCTGTCTCTTATAATCTCCCTAAATTGCATACACAATGTGTATGTAGGTCTGAGGTGATTAATAGAACTCAGGCTCACAGACTCAACATCTTGGTCTAACTGGCCCTTCATGCCAACACCAGTGATGACTGTCGTGGGTTTTCCAAAATTCTTGCATAAACTAACTGCCTCCATCTTCTTGTCTGTTTCTTTTCTTTCCTTCTCAGGTGTCCAAATGAATTTACTGGTGATCGCTGCCAAAACTATGTAATGGCCAGCTTTTACAGTATGTCTATTTCCTATTCTGTCTGTTCTCGGATTGGTAGCATGCTCAGTTAACAGTTATTGTGCTATGTACCTGTTTTTCTTCTCCTTAGATCTGTGATCTATGCAGCCCCAAAGCTTTTGCATGTTGATGTTTGTTTCTCTGTATTATTTTGTATGTTAAAGCTGCATGTGGTATTGTAGAATTTATAGACATTTTATTTCCATATTATTTATTTCAAATGACAAAAGTTTGCGCATTTACAAACTGAGATTTGTAAATTATCAGTGTTCCAGTCTTTCTTGTCTCTATGCTTGTCTCTATGCTCTATATTTACCTGTTAAGGTATGACTACCTTATATATATATATATGAAAGACCTGATTTCTTTCTATTTCTATTAGAACACATTTAAAGCAGTTGCCAATGGGAATCACAAGGTCAAATGTATTCTATATCCAAAAGCTGGAAGATGTGCAGTGTTGTATGGTATTATTTGACAGTTTCACCCATGCAGGCACATACCTCTCCAAAATCACATGAAGGAAAAACTTTGGTGGCCACAAAACTTATATATATATATAAATATATATTCAATTCAATTCAATTTTATTTGTATAGCGCCAATTCATAACAGAAGTTATCTCAGGACACTTTTCAAATAGAGCAGGACTAGACCGTACTCCTTATAAAATTATTTACAAAGACCCAACAGTTCCCACCATGAGCAAGCACTTGGCGATGGTGGCAAGGAAAAACTTCCTTTTAAGAGGCAGGACCCTCGGACAGACCCCGGCTCTAGGTGGGTGGCCATCAGTTGGGATGAGAGAAAGAGAGAGAGAGAGAGAGAGACAGAGGTAAAGACAGAAGGACAGACACAGAGACAAAGGTGCACAGCAACAACAGTAGCAACAACTACACTAATAGTAGTGACTGATGGTGATGATGATGATGAACATGAAGAAGAAGATGACGATGACGACAACAGCCACCTCGATGGGGACAATGAGCAATGATAATAGTAATAATAGTAACTGTAGTAATAATAATAATAACAATAATATCAGTAATATTAGCAGTGGGAGTCAAGCAGAACCATGGCAGGAGGAACCACCAGGATCCACGAGAACCTGTGAGACGAGAAAGCACAAGAACTCCAGGGAAGAAGGGAAGTTAGTAACATGCATTAATGGGACATGTGTGCAGAAAGAGAGGGAGAGGAACAAAGCTCAGTGCCTCATGGGAAATGTAGTAGTTTAGGCCTATAGCAGCATAACTAAGGCATGGTTCAGGACTCACCTGAGCCAGCCCTAACTATAAGCTTTATCAAAGAGGAACGTCTTAAGCCTACTCTTAAATGTGCAGAGGGTGTCTGCCTCCCGAACCAAAACTGGAAGCTGGTTCCACAGGAGAGGAGCTTGGTAGCTGAAGGCTCTGGCTCCTGTTCTACTTTTAGAGACCATAGGAACCACAAGTTGCCCTGCATTCAGATTTTAAATTCTATTCTGAATTTTACAGGGAGCCTGTGCAGAGAAGCTAATGCAGGAGAAATGTGATCTCTTTTCCTAGTTCCTGTCAGTATTCGTGCTGCAGCGTTCTGAATTAATTGGAGCGTCTTAATGGACTATTGGGGCAGCCTGATAATAAGGAGTTGCAGTAATCCAGCCTAGAAGTAACAAATGCATCCGTCTGTGACAGGCTGTGTCTAATTTTTGTAATGTTCCAAGATTCCTGACGGTGGTGCTGGAGGCCAAGGTAATACCATCAGGTGTTTGGGGCCAAGTACAAGAACTTCAGTGCTCGTCCCTTTTTGACCATGAAAAAGAAAAACGCCTATTATTTCAATTTTAATTTTGTATTTTAAAACGAAAATCAAATAACCACTCGTTTTCTGTTTTTTAATACCCGTTTCTGTAAGGAAAATCGAATGACCAAAACATACACGGACCGAACGATCTGATAAATTGGACTTGAACCAGCTTAGTGCGGTTCCTTTAATGCCAATTAGATGCTCAAGTCTCTGTAATAGAATATGTTGGTCAATGGTGTCAAATGCAGCACTAAGATCTAAGTCCATTGTCGGAAGCAATTCAAAGGTTGTTATTATACTATACTATATTATACTTTAACCAGTGCTGTCTTTGTACTGTGATGAACTCTAATATAAATATATATATATATATATATATATATGCTATAGGTGTACTTTTAGCGTCATTTCTTTACATGCCCACCATCAGAGTCAGGTTCATCACATAAGTTACGTTTTATTCAGTAACTTAAGCTATGTCGTAACTTACAATCTTACATTCTAAACCTAAGCAAAACTGCAACCATTTCACAATGTTAACTAGACAAGCTTTATTTTGAAAGTATAACTGGACGTTGCCTATTTATTATTGCTAACTCGACTGCAGAGCCCAGCACGTCACGAGAGAAATACCTTCAGTATTATAATTGGGTTCAAAGGACCACTGACCAGGCTACAGTATTTGTTGTGTTATACATAGCAGAGAATGACAGAATGACATGCAGTGTGTCATATTCTTATTCTAAAAGTAGGGCTTTGCAATGAAAATTGATAGAGTTAATATGTCATGAGGTAGTTTGCACAAAGGTCATTGTTTTCAACTTTTATAATATTTATTTTCACAAAATAATGAGCTGATCAGTTTCAACAGATTTTCACCCATGCTGTATGTTCCCACAGATCCAAATGTAGCTCTTGTTCATGACCACCCAGAGCTATTTGATCTCACAATAATTATTATAAACATCATAAACAAACAAGTGCAAATACCATTTGGTGCCTTCCTATTACTGTATTATGTGGGTGTGGTAACGATGCCGCGACTGAGAGCAGAAATAGCTGAACAAAGCCCTCACTCTTTTTTCCATTTTTCTTCCAAAGTCTTCCAAACTAAACTACAAAACAGTTTGTTCGTCATTGACCTCCAAATGATCCATACAGTACATTTTCTGATCTGGTGCTTATATTGTTAGGACAACCTCACCTTTACAAACTGCCATTGCTTCATTAAGAGTTAGGTTTAGGCACAAAAACAACTTGGTGATCATGGGTTGAATTTAAAAACTATAAGATTCCTTGTTAATGGAAATCAACACTGACTGTTGGTAAGAGGTGGGGTGTGAACAACAGTTTCTGATGTTAAAGTCAGAGCTTGTATGATCAACCATCTACCCCTTGCTTTCCACTCTAAGAGGTTCTCCAGTGCTCCTTTGCTTTGAGTTTTTCTGGTAAGGTGACATCTTGCAGTGTCTGCTGTTAAATTATAGTCTTTGCTCTGCAATTGTTTTTGAATCCGATTTTTATACAAGTATTATTATTATAGTCAAAACAGTCAAAATAAATACAGATAAATTCACAATTTAAAATTTTTTTTAAAATAGTATGTGTTAGAAATGTTGCGTGATTGTGATAGCATGCTAAAATTAAGTGTGTTGACTATTGAGTGTATCCCTATCGCCCTAACTTACTGTCTGGCATGGCAGCACACTAAGGTGCATGCATCAAAACATATTACTGCAGTAGAAGTGTCTTAATGTATAATAGTGTATCCAGATAATGTATCCAGATAATTTAGGTATTTCATACAATACAAAAATTGTTTTAAAAAATGTAATTGATGTTGTAATTGGAATGATTTGACAAGTATTTTAAAGGTACAGGAAACTAAATTTTTTGAATTTGTAATTAACTAGGTGTTAAGGCACTTGAAATGTCATTGCTCTTAATTTCTTGTTTTACGTTGTTTTTTTTACTTATATCTTATCTGCTTTATTTCCACATTCAGACACTGCCGTTTGAAATTTAGTTTGATATATGATTAACAGTCATTAGTGTTTAGACAACTGACCCATGCCTGCTTCTCAGTGTTGCACAGTTACAGGTGAAACATTTGGCTTTCTCACCATAAAACCTCCAAGGAGCTTATTCAAGTGACACAGAATTTTAGCCAAAACTATGAAAATCTAGTGCAGAAAGTGGGAGCTTTGTTTTTGTAAAGCCTGGCATACTTGTTACCTATACATTTCATAGTTTCAACTGTAGCTTTGGCATACTTAACAGCTTGATGGCAAGTTAATTTCTCTCTCTGCTTCAGTGCTAGTGAAAGTCAGTGTGGGGATGTCAGGGTAGTGGATAGCTGTGTAGCGCGTCTGACTTTCATGCTAGAGTTTGCATGTGTGTGTTTATGTCCTATATCTATGTATATATATAGATTTGAGATGGTCATACAAGTTTATATAGAAAAGTTCTACAGTGTGATGTCACACCATCTATCGCCTGCCTTCCTGTTTCCACCCCCACCAGATGTATGTTTTTAACGGTTCCTTATCTCCCTTCTTCCTTATAGCAACTCTGACGGTTCTGCCTCTTCCACTGCACTGAGGGCAGGGTCATCTGATATGTGCTAAAATAGATGTAGAAATGTACTGAAATGTGTAATACCAACCTACCCAGGGAAAACAGATGAAAATTAGCCTTTTGGATAAATCTCGCACATTTAAATCACATTGATAATAATTCATATAAATATCTAGTTTCCCTTTAAATGAGACAATTTAATTAAAATGGAATGCAAAATATTCTTAAAAAACAGCGGCACTATAGAACAGTTGACTGGTTAAAGTGTACGGCGTGGAGCCTGCTTGGTTTTTTCAGGTTCCCCATGATGGCTGACAAGACTAATTACCAAAACATTCAACAAATCCTGTCTCCTTGTTTCTTTATGAAGCTTTTTGCTCTTTATTATATAAGCATTTAATTATTTGAGCGCTCCACCAAGAACTGGGCTACATGGTTCAGGCCTAAAAGCATTTTAGACTGTGGTTTTTAAGTGAAATTCACAATATGTATTGCTTGTTTTATTTCAAAATTACCATTGGTATATACAAAAAGGTTTGTTAAGAACAATATCCAAACAGCTAAAATACAGTTAGAGAAAATCAACATACAAATGAAACTGCGTATTAAAACTTTTGCTATTAATAAAATTAATAAATAACAGAGCAAAGGGAGAGGGACATGTGATAAAAGCAAAATGTACAGTTATTTAAGTTTTAAAATGCCAAAATACACAATAGAAAATGTGATATAGACTAACGTCAACAGAATTTGCAGGAGATGCTGAAAGAAAATCAAACTCTAAATTAACTTAAGTACATCTAAAATATTATATTATAGAAATATTACTGTTACATTAAATATTCTGGAATGAAAACCCTTTGCTGTGTCTCACCTCCTCTCTCTCCCCCCTTTCCTGTCAACTATCACTATCAATTAAAGGCAGCAATACTTAAAAATAGCTGACTCCTCATTAGGTATAACTAGCGGCATTGAGATGGCTCCGGGTATAATGTAGTTGTCGTTTAAACTCATTATGTATGTGATGTCTATTACTGTGGGTGTGGAACTACAAAGCTTTCCAGTGATGTTTATCAGCGCTCGAAAACTGCTTACTCTAATTCATACTCGACACTGCACTTACTTGGGTCCTTAGCAATACACCTGCCAAGCGTAAAGTTGATCAGATATTCTTCATAATAATTCCTGGCAGGCCTGCATATCTATACTTATTCTAGTCACTCCAGTCAAAGTCAGGTGGCGTAGTATAAACACTGAGAAAGTCCACATATGGAGGTGGTGTGGTGGATGGACAGTTCAAACACACACAGGACTTTTATCCAAGGGGACGCTATTTGCGTCCTGTGTGAACCCAAAAGTTAATTTATTTTAAGTATTGTATGTAAATGACTTCAACTACATTATGAAACCGCCAATCTTTTCCTAATCCTAAGCAGGTAGTTTATGTGCCTAAATCTAACCAAACTGGGACCATTTCACAATGTTACAAAGCTTTATTTTGAAAGCTTAATCAGATGTTGCATATTTGTCATTGGTAACTTGACTGGAAGTTGCAGACTTTTCATAGTTATTGTTAATAACTTGACAGTAGAGCCCTGTGCCTTCCAGTAGGGTACCTACATCATCATATTTTGAAGCAGAGAGCCACTGATCAAACTGCAGTAGATGATTAGCTGGGAGTGAGAACATTGCCCACGTTAGTTCACTTACTTAACTTGTTCAGAACCCACCACTGTATCCTTCATATGTGAGATATGAGTGCTAGTTTGAATAGGGTGCCATCTCTGAAAGTTGACGTTCAGGGTTTTTAGGACAATAAAGACAAGCAGGAACCAGGGTGGAGAGCTGATACAGGATACTGGCTAATGATCTTTTTTCAAAATAAAGACACAATTTAAACATTTTTAATCAGGATCCTCCTAAACTTTTCAAGAGTTGTAATAAATAAATGAAAATACTCCTTTTCCTACATTACCTTTATCATTGACATTTATGAGCTGATTGTTACTTATAAGCTGGCATATACACTGGCACAATATCCCTGCAATAAACAAACATACTGAAAGCAGTTGTATAATATTTTCTAAGAAAAGTAAGAAATGTCAAGTCTGAGAAAATAACACTTAAGATTTCATACAGTATTGATGTCATCAGGGTTTAATGGTCTCTTGACCTGATGACATCACTATGATGATGTGAAGACACATTATGGGAAGTGTGGGGACGAGAGCACCACTTTAATCACTTATGTAAACACTTGACTGCCAGACTGACTCCATTTAGAAGTAAAGAATAAGTAACCGCAGACAGTCATAATTACCAGTTTAGGCCACTATGAAAGCTTAATGAATGAGGGCCACTGTGTCTCCCTGCTCAGTGGATTAGATTGTAACAATTTCAAGTGAAGGCAGACCTCTAATACAAGGATACATTTGTTAATTACTGAAAATGTAAAAACCTCATTACAGAACATTTTCTTCTTGTTTGGGTCTTTGTGTCTGTGCAGTATGTGTCTGCCTGTGTGTGTTGTAGACCTGAAGTTCTAAGAATGGACTGTCCTCTTTTTCAGAAGCTGAGGAGCTGTATCAGAAACGTATTTTAACAATAACAGGAATCTGCATTGCACTCCTAGTCGTTGGAATCATGTGTGTGGTTGCCTACTGCAAAACAAAGTAATTCATGTCACATTTTTATGTTTATTTTTAACTTTAAGGTACACTTTCTGATTTTATTATAGTGCCCAATAGTGCCCCCAAGTCCCAGCATCTGCTCAATTTATAATGTGCTATGTTTCAAAATATTAATAGTATGTAAGCACAGTAAGTAAAACTCTTTTTGCATAGTACAAAAGTTGGGTTAGCAAGAGCATCACAGTTCCAAATTAAAGAATAAGAACATACCAAAGAAAAGACCAAGAACAAAATGTTTGCTCCATGACCTGGAAGCCGGGACAACAAAAGTTAAGTCTTGAACAGAAACAATGGCTTATTTAAGACTTTGCTCTGGTCACCTAAGAGGCCTAACAGGAAGTCCATATAGTGAAGCTAGCACTAGGCTAATATGACTTTTGAGTCTTACCTGGATGGGAAGTCTTAATTAGTGATTGTGCAGCATATTGTTAAACTAATTGTAATTGCTTCTTGGCTTGAAACATTGATACAAGATGTTACAATAGTCATGACAAGAGTGGGGCTGCCCCTGAGTAAAGATGTTCCTAGTCGACTAGTAGTCTTTAGTTCAAGCCATTAGTCGACTAGGTGTTAACACGATGGATGATGACATTAACAGTTACTTACAAATTAACTTGCTACAAACTTGCTCCTCTCCTGTCCCTGCCTGAAACCGTGGTGTCTTTGTTGTCAGAGTCGCTGTAAAACTGGCCTCTGTCAGTCTTGGAGCTGTAAACCCGGTTCTGTTGCCTGCTTGCCCGGATCAGGTTCTGATGCTCATTCAGCTCCCGCTACCTGGCAGTATTCCCTGCTGGGTCCTGAAAACCTGCTCAGTCCAAAGCTCCTGTACGAGTAGTGTCAACAAACCTCCCCCGTCCTTCGCTCTCCAAATCTGGTAGAGTCAGTTAATAGGACTGGCTAAATAGTTGGCAGCTAGTACAATTAGCACATGCAGCAGTGCACCGGTAAGTGACTCCCTGTGTTACAAGAGAAATGGTCCGTGCTTCAACAATCTAATGATACTTTGGTCCCAGTGACAAGGCACAGCTCCTAAATAGAGTCAGATTTTTTAGTTTTTCTGCGTCTATCCAACAAATAAAAAGTGGCTTGACTAAGACTCTTCAAATCAACTAACTGTTTAGTCAACTATTAGATTGCCGCCCTAGACAAGAGTGATACATAAAACTGGACATCATCCACATAACAATGATCACAAATACAGCAAAACCAAATGTGCTGAGAGAAGTTTGGGGATTGTGTGGTGCTATTGGATGCTATAACAAAATTGTGTTTTTTGTACTGACCTCAAAATATTAATTATCGTTTATACAGTCAAGCCATAATAACATTAGATGAAATTGGGGTAACTGTATCACTACTGTATAAGTACATTTGGAACTTTCCCCTCACATATATTGTCCAGTTGTGATCTGGGCTGCTTCTCAATCTAGTTTGCTTCTTCACAAACAGGAAGCAGAGGAAGAAACTTCATGACCGTCTGAGGCAGAGCCTGAGGAATAAGAGGAACAACAATACCAGTGCTGGTATTGGCCCAAACCTGGCAAGCTCAGCCAGAGGACGACGGATTTCTAACTTGCCTCTTCATGATTTGCAGCTTATCAATGTATGTTGTTACTTGTTGGTATCAAGTAAAAGGCATCAAAACCTGTTGAATATGTCAATTGCCAATGTTTTTATGCTCCTCTTTTTATAGCAATGTAATGGGATGATTATGCAGCATGCAGCTGAGAAGGAGACAGAGACAACTTTCTCCACAAGCAATTATGGCTTATCTGCGCATGAAGCAACCACATTCACCCACATCTCCAGCCAAAGGTAAGCAAGACCTTTAAATATAATAGGGATAAAGGAAATGTAGTTATCATTATCATTATTATCATTATACAATGAAGTTAAAGTTTGCTGTTCCTTCACGTAACACACATAGACAAAGATGGTTACATTTATTATAATATAAATGTAACTATAACATATTAAACAAATACAATACAATATATATTTATTAATAAATATATATATTTACATACACAAATGTAAACAGCAGCAGCAAGATAGTTATGATAATATGGTTTCATCCTCACTTAAAAAGAAACAGTGTCCATCATTCATGTAAAGCTCTGTTGGCTTGGGACACGGTCTGCCGGTTGAGGATCCGGGATGTTAATGGAGCAGGTCTTTGTAAAGATGTGGGCACAGCAGTCTCTGATTTCCCATTGTTTGGCCAGCCTGAGTCCTATTTAGTCCGGACTAAACATTAACCAGGAGCAGCCTTAAGTCCAAACTGGGAGACTACAGCAACCCACTGGTCCGGCCGATTTGACTAAGTGGATTGTCTCAAGGTCCACTGCTCCTTAATTAAATAAATGTTCAAATTCTGTTCAATTCAATTTTATTTGTATAGCGCCAATTCATAACAGAAGTTATCTCAGGACACATTTGAAATAGAGCAGGTCTAGACCATACTCCTTATAAAAGTATTTACAGAGACCCAACAGTTCGCACCATGTGCAAGCACTTGGCGACGGGGGCAAGGAAAAACTTCCTTTTAAGAGGTAGAAACCTTGGACAGACCCCGGCTCTAGGTGGGTGGTCGTCTGTCTTGACCAGTTGGGGTGAGAGAGAGAGAGAGAGAGAGAGAGAGAGAGAGACAGACAGACAGACAGACAGACAGACGCACAGCAACAGCAGTAGCAACAACTACACTAATAGTAGTGACTGATGATGATGAACATGACAACAGCAACAATGGGGGACAATGAGCAGTGACAACAGCAACAACAGTAACCGTAGCTATAATAATACTCATAATAATAATAACACTAATGTCAGTGATATTGGCAAAGGCAGTCAGGCAGGACCATGGCAGGAGGCTCGACTAGGATCCATGAGAACCTGCGAGACAAGAAAGCACAAGAACTCCGAGGAAGAAGTGAAGTTAGTAACATGCATTAATGGGACATGAATGAGTGCAGAACGAGAGAGGAAGGGAGGAGCTCAGTGCACCATGGGAAATCCCCCGGTAGTCTAGGCCTATAGCAGCATAACTAAGGGATGGTTCAGGACTCACCTGAGCCAACCCTAACTATAAGCTTTATCAAAGAGGAATGTCTTAAGCCTAGTCTTGAATGTGGTGAGGGTGTCTGCCTCCCGAACCACAACTGGAAGCTGGTTCCACAGGAAAGGAGCTTGGTAACTGAAGGCTCTGGCTCCAGTTCTACTTTTAGAGACTATAGGAACCACAAGTAGCCCAGCATTCAGAGAACGTAGTGTTCTAGTGGGGTAATAGGGTACTATGAGCTCTTTAAGATATGAAGGGGCCTGACCATGAAGAGCTTTATAGGTGTGGAGGAGAATTTTAAATTCTATTCTAAATTTTACAGGGAGCCAGTGCAGAGAAGCTAGTACAGGAGAGATGTGATCTCTTTTTCTAGTTCCTGTCAGTACTCGTGCTTCAGCGTTTTAAATTAATTGGAGCGTTTTAATGGACTTATTGGGGCAACCTGATAATAAAGAATTGCAGTAATCCACCCTAGAAGTAACAAATGCATGGATGTTTTTCTGTGATAGGATGTGTCTAATTTTTGTAATATTACGTGAATGAAAGAAGGCAGTCCTGGAGGTTTGCTTTATGTGGGAAGTAAATGACAAATCCTGATCAAAGATAACTCCAAGATTCCTGACAGTGGTGCTAGAGGCCAAGGTAATGCCTTCTAGAGTAACTATATCTTTAGACACTGAGTCTCTAAGGTTTTTGGGGCCAAGTACAAGAATTTCAGTTTTTTCTTTTAGTTTAACATCAGAAAATTGCAGCTCATCCAGGATTTTATGTCCTTAAGACATGTTTGTAATTTAGATAATTGATTAATTTCATCGGGCTTGATCGATAGATATAACTGTGTATCATCTGCATAGCAATGAAAGTTAATGGAGTGATTCCTAATAATTTTGCCTAAAGGAAGCATATATAAAGTAAATAGTATTGGTCCAAGTACAGAACCTTGTGGAACTCCATGACTAACTGTAGTATTTATTGAAGATTCATAGTTAACATGTACAAACTGCGAACGATCTGATAAATATGACTTAAACCAGCTTAGTGCAGTTCCTTTAATGCCAATTTGATGCTCAAGTCTCTGCAAAAGAATATCATGGTCAATGGTGTCAAATGCAGCACTAAGAGCTAATAATACAAGTACAGAGACAAGTCCATTGTCTGAAGCAATCAAAAGGTCATTATTAACTTTAACCAGAGCTGTCTCTGTGCTGTGATGAACTGTAAATCCTGACTGAAAATCCTCAAACCCTGTTGTTGTGTAGAAAGTCACACAACTCTTTGGCGACTACTTTCTCCAGAATCTTAGAGAGGAAGGGGAGGTTAGAAATCGGTCTATAATTGGCTAAAACCCCTGGGTCAAGAGTGGGCTTTTTAAGAAGGGGTTTAATTACAGCTACTTTAAAGAACTGTGGTACATATCCTGATAATAAAGAAAGATTAATCATATCCAGTAAAGAAGTGCCAATAAAGGGTACGGTTTCTTTAAGCAGCCTAGTTGGGATCGGGTCTAACAGACAGGTTGATGGCTTCAATGTAGAAATTATTGAAGTTAACTGATGAAGATCGATAGCAGAAAAACAGTCTAAATATATATCTGAGTTTACATTAGTTAAAGTTCCTAAACTTGGAGAGCCAGTGATACCTGTTGATGGCAGTTGGTGATTAATCTTCTCTCTAATAATAATAATTGTATTATAAAAGAAGCTCATGAAGTCATTGCTACTTAAGTTTATGGGGATATGTGGCTCAATAGAGCTGTGACTCTCTGTCAGCCTGGCTACAGTGCTGAAGAGGAACCTAGGGTTGTTCTTATTTTCTTCTATTAGTGCTGAATAATAGGCTCCTCTGGCATTACGGAGGGCCTTTCTATAGGTTTTAAGATTATCATGCCAAATTGAGCGATATTCTGATAATTTGAAAGAGCGCCATTTCCTTTCAGATTTCCTAGCTTTTTGCTTTAATTGAAGAATTCAGATATAAAATCAGAGTATGGTCCAGGGGCGCGGTACACTATAACAAACAAAACTGGCGAGAAAGGTGATGAGAAAGACTAAGAACAAGGCTTTCAAATTAATTATAATTTAGTTTAGGTTTAGGGTGCATTACAACGCTCGAATCATATATGGCCAGTGCCTCGAGGAATGTGAGTATTAATGTGACTGGGGGGGTGGATTCATTCAGGCTAACATACTCCTCGTGGGACAACCAGGTCTCAGTAAGACAAAGTAAATCAATATCATAATCTGATATTAATTCATTCACTAAAACAGCTTTGGAAGACAGAGACCTGATATTAAACAGTCCATATTTTGTGCTAAGTTGGTTTTAATTTTTATTAGGTTTTTATGTTTAACTCCTCTTGTTTTATTTCTTTAAATAATTTAGGTGGTCAGAGGACAGACACAGTCTCTATGGGGTTTTGGGTGGGTGACTGTTCTAATGGAAGCACAGAGAAGTGTGTAAGACAGCAGCTCTGCTTCCTGGTCCCAACTCTGGGTTGTCAGGCAGAAGCCATTGCTAACTGCTAATGTTAATGAAGCTAGCGTGTGTTAAAACTTTTGAAAATAGCGAAAAGTCGCTAAAAGAAGGAGTAGCTCCGAGTGTTTTAGGTAGAGCTAGTCTACATTTAAATGTTAAGTGGGAAAATGACCGCTGTAACGAGTAAAACAAATTTAGATTTAGCGTTCACTGGACAGAGCTACAGCAACAAACAGTGTACACAGAGCAGGAAGTAAACCAGAAATGAGTCAGTACACTTACCGTAGCACGTCAGCACGTCATAATTGCTTGCTTCAGGGACTTCTATAAGGAACTGTATTCTAGTAAAGCAAAGGCCACTGAAGCAGATTTCTGTAACTTTTTTGCCAATTTAAATGTTCCCCAATTAGATAGTGCAGCAAGAGATGACATGGAGGCCCCAATTTCTAAAACTGACCTTTTGAATGCTATTCGAGCCTTCCCCTCTGGAAAAACATCTGGGGTCTCATTTATAAAACTGTGCGTGGGATCGTTACTAAAAGTGTACGTATGCCCAAAAGCCAAGTTTTGTGTGCTCCAAAAAATATTCAGACTTATAAAACTCTGCGTACGCACATCTGTAAGCAATCTTTGCTTTATAAATCACAGAGTGCCTACAAGTGTGCGCAGCTGAATCAGCTTCACGTTCCACCTTGTACACGCCCCTTTTTAACCATAAATGGTCAATGCAAACGACCTCATGAATGCGATCTGCATATAGAACAGACTGAAATGCAAGTATTATGTCTTGTCGGAAACAATGGCAGAAGGACTGAGAAAAGCAAAAAAGCAAAATTTCACGGAGGTTGAAGTGGAGACACTTGTGGGTGAGGTGGAGGCCCGAAAAGTAGTTTTATTCGGCGGTCACGGGACTGGGATCACTAACAACAAAAAGTAGAGTGAGTGGCAACATGTTGCTGCAGCAGTGAACTCTGTCAGTGGCACGGAGCGCACAGTCCCAGAATTAAAAAAGAAGTGGTCTGACATAAAGGTACATATTTTCATTTCCTAACGCACAGCACGTTTATAATTTATTGCTCAAATGTTACTTATCGTACAGTGAAGATCGTTAATTACAGGTGGATGCAAAGCGGAGACTGTCCTCACACCGCCAGAGCGTGACTGCAACTGGGGGGGGGGACCCAGTACTCCTGACCTAACACCAATTGACACAAAAGTAGCATCCATAATTGGTACCGCAAGCGTGAGTGGCATCGTGTCCGAAAGGGAAGGAGACACTGAC